CAACAAATATTGTTACCAACTCTATGTTTGAGGTCCGCGCCAGCTCACACTGCCTCACGTAGTCCTCGAGCGAAACTGTTTTTCTGGGTCACCACACTCTTCTGATTTAATCGCTTGCTCTTGGGGGCCTCTTGGGGACCTCTTGGGAGTCTCTTGGGGCTCCTTGGCGGCGTCTTGGGGGCCCCAGGGCCTCTTGGGGGGCTCTTGTGGGCCTCTTGGGGCGGGAGGGGGAGTAGTCGATTGCGGCTCCCCCCTCGGAGGCCACGATCCTCGTGAGCGGTCTCGAAAAAATGCCCGGTCCGGGGTCTCCTCCTGGGATTTGCCCGGGGTATTTTTCGCCCGGGGACCCCCAGGGGCCGCCCTGCGCGCGCGAACTAGAAATATTGTTAACCAGTTACCGGAGATCTTAGCACGCCTTTGGCCCGTTGGGCTGGCGAATTTTTTAATGGAACCCGTCGAAAACCTCCAGAACCATCCAGGAATCTCCGAACATTTTCGACGAACGCGTGTTCAGTAAAGCCTTAACTTTCCTCATCCCCTCTCTGGTATCGATTTCCTCTCCTCCACATCCCCTCCGTCCTCCCCCTGCTCCTCCCCCCCTGCTCCGGTGACGACGCTGGTGTCGACGAGGACGCCAACAACGACGACGACGACGAGGACGTTAACAGCGACAACGTTTACGACGACTGAGGCGGCGACAACGTAGGTGCCGACGAGCGCGCCAACGACGACGGCGTGGACGCCAACGAACATGACGACGACGGCGGCGACGACGGCGGCGGCGACGGCGGCGGCGGCAGCGGCGACGGCGACAGTGGCGGCGATAGCGACGATAACGGCGGCGACGGCGGCGGCGACTGCGGCGCACGCCGACGTGGCCGCCGCGGTAGGCCATGCGCAGCGGCGCGGACCGGCTGAAGCTGCAGGCCCGCCCCGCGCCCCTGGGACGGAGGGCGGGTGTTGCGAGCGGGTCTTCATCCACGCCCCTCCTCCATCCCTTGATCCTCCTCGGTCCGTCCGTCCTTCCCATCCTTCTCCTTCCTCCCCTCTCCTCGTCCTCTCTTCGTCCTCCCTGTTCCCCCATCCTCCTCTCTCTTCCCACATCCTCCCTCCTCCTCCCTCCTCTCCTTCCCTCCTCCCTCCCTCCCTCAGCTGAACCAGATATCCATCATGTTGTGCTGTTGAGGTATTTTCCTAGCAAGGCTCCACGAGGCCCCTGAAGCCTCGAAGTGGAACGAAACCCAACCGGTGTCTGACGTGGACTTGGCAGTTCCCGTCCCCACTTTCGAGGCGTTCGCCAGCATCCACGGGATCCTCTCCCAGGCCAGACGTGCTTACGTGGGCGGTTCGGCTCTCTCGGCTGACCCTCGTATCGCTTGAGCTGACTCGGGTGTGGCTTCGATTTCATTCAAGAGCCAGACGAGTGCAGATTCCCAGGGCTCTTCGAAACAGTTGGTGGACCGCAGACCGTCCCGCGTTCGGAGCTGGCTGCCCTGTATCACTGCCTCCTCTTTATTGAGGGCCCCTCGAGATCTGGACGGACAACGATCTAGTCAATCGTGGCTGGCGCCGACGGTACTGGGTCACCCCACAGGGCACGCACAAGCAGTGGTTGTAGCGTATCAGGCAGGCTATTCTCCAGAGGTCAGATCGTACTGCTCAGGTTGTGGCACATGTAACTCCCATCTGGATGCAGTGAGCCTCAGAGTTGCGCCTCAACCTTGGCGGCTTGTTCCCCTCGGTCCTGAGCGGGCCGACGCCTTTGCCCACAGGGTCCGAGAGAAGGCCCTGAACTCTGAAACCGCCCCGTCGGAGAATCAATGAGGCGATCGCCCGATGCCGTCGGCGGCTGCCCCCGGACCGTGCCCATCGTCACACAGCAACGTAGGCATCGACGACGTGCGCAGCAGCTAGACTATTCATGTCAGCGCGTACGATTTACCAGTCGGATCTTTACGCGGAACCACAGGATTGTCGTTCCGCTCGTTGTTCGAAAATGGAGCCCCCGGGAATCATTCTGCACTGTCGGCACAGCCTGTTGCTGGCTCACTGCGGGGACGCGCGCCCCAACTTGATTTCTCGTTGGGTGTGGGCGGAAAGGAGTCATGTATGAACAAAGGAGGAGGCAAAGGATAAGGAAAGGGAGGAGGACGAGGAGGAGGAGGACGAGGAGGAGGAGGAAGAGGAGCGGGAGGGAGGTGGAGCGGGAAGACCAGTAGAAGGACGTGGAATACGATTAAGAATAATATGAGAGAGTAGAGGAGGAGGAGGAGGAGGAGGAGGAGGAGGAGGAGGAGGAGAAGGAGGAGGAGGAGGAGGATGAGGAGGAGGAGGAGGACAAAGAAAAGAGGGGGGAACTGGGGACCAATCCAGATAATTTCTCTGAAGTTGGGTTTGTTCTTGAAGCCCGAAGGGAGCCTTCGGGCCCCCGGATGTGGCGCGACTCGGGGTGGGGGGGGATAGGGGATTTTGAGGGAATGCCCCGAGGGGCGTTCACACATATACATGTGCATGCATTCACACATGCATACATACATACAGCCATACACACGTATACGTGATATATGATATATACGTGCATGCATACATATGTACACTACACATGTATATACATACACGTTCACACATACATTTACATATATCTATACATATATGCACAGACGCATAGACATAGTGTACATACACAGGAACATGTCATGTGCACACGCATGTATGCATCCACACATATACCTATATGTGTGTATGTATGTATGCGTGTATGCGTGTATGTATGTATGTATGTATGCATGTATGTATGTATGTTTGCATGTACGTGTACATGCATGTTTGTGTGTAATTATGTATGTATGCATGTATGTATGTATGGATGTATGGATGTATGGATGTATGGATGTATGTATGTATGTATGTATGCATGCATGCATGCATGCATGTATGTGTATGAGTGTACGGTTGTATGCGAGTATATATATGCACGTATGTGTGTATGCATGTATGGGTGTATATTATGTAGATGTATGCATAGAAGTGTATACCTATGCGTACATTTGCATAC